AGAGAGAGAGAGAGAGAGAGAGAGAGAGAGAGAGAGAGAGAGAGAGAGAGATGCATACTGGAAGAGGCAAATACATAGGGCAGGAATCTTAGACTTCTTAGGTGCTGACAACATTATTGAGATGTCCATACTCATGTAACAGCATAAGGCAGTCTTCGACAAGTATGGGATTTGCAAATAAAACTGTAGTTGAAGGACTTGACCATCAGTGTAAGGGGGAGTCTTGAGTCTTGGGGAGAAGAGACCCTTTGGGGAGGAGTAATTGAAATTTGCCTTGGAGAGAGGATATGATTTGGAGAAGAGCATTTATTTCATCCATGAAGAACAGAGTAAAAAAAAGCAGAAGCTTTACTGTTGGTTATGGGGTTTTTAGTACTTGTTGTTGTTGTTGTTGTTGTTTTATGAGACAAGAGTTTTTCTTTGGAGCCCTGGCTGTCCTGGAACTCTATAGAATAAACTGACCCTGGGCTGAGAAATTTACCTGCCTCTGCCTTCTAAGTGCTGGCATTAAAGGCTACCACCACTAGCCATGAAACAGGATCTGGCTATGTAACCCAGGCTGTTCTCAAACTTGGCAGCGCCCCCCCCCCTTTTTTTTTGGTTTTTCAAGACAGGGTTTCTGCATAGTTTTTGGAGCCTGTCCTAGAACTAGCTTGTGTAGACCAGGCTGGCCTCGAACTCACAGAGATCTGCCTGCTCTGCTTCCTGAGTGCTGGGATTAAAGGTGTGCTCCACCACTGCCCGGCCTGGCCTCTTTTCATAGGGCAGTTACTCTTAAGTCAAAGTAATGGTGTAACTTTTTATGTCTTAAAAGTAAACTATAGGGCTGGAGAGATGGCTCAGTGGTTAAGAGCACCGCCTACTTGTCTAAAGGTCCTAAGTTCAATTCCCAGCAACAACATAATGGCTTACAATCATCTGTAATGAAATCTGGTGCCCCCTTCTGGTCTGCAGGCATACATGTAGGCAGAATACTGTATACACAATAAGTAAGTAAATAAATAAATAAATAAATCTTTTTTTAAAAAAGTAAACTATATAAAAATATTTTCTCATTACAGTTCAGGGACAGAAGTTAAAATCTTTATACCATTTTATATATTTTGAATTGATTCTTTTTCTAAAAAAATATTTTATGTGTATCGATATTGCCTGAACATATGTCTGTACTATGTGCGTGCCTTGTGCCTAGGGAGGCCAGAAGACAGCATCAGGTCTTCTGGAACTAGAATTATAGATGCTTGCGAGCTGCCCACCATATGGGTGCTGAAGCTCTAACCTAGGTCTTCTGGAAGAACAGCTAGTGTTCTTACAGAACTGAGCCATCTCTAGCTAGCTCACTGACTCATGGCACTCTTTTTATTCTCTCTCTCTGCATCTGTCTCTTACTATGTTGCCCTGGCTAGCCATGAATTATGTTAAACCAGGCTGTCCTCAGAGTCATAAGAAATCTGTCTGCCTACAAATTTGATGCCAGCCTGGTCTACATAGCAAGTTCCAGGTTAGCCAAAGCTACATAGTGAGACCCTGTCTTAAACAAACAAGCAAACAAAAACAAAAAAACAGGCCAGGCATAGGGACACACACAACACTCTAATCTTAGCATTTGGGAAGTCTTACTGTTGACTGAAGCCTGTACATAGTGTGAGGCCTTCCTGGACGTGTGTGTGTGTTGGATGAAACCCCAGGACCTTGTGCATTCCAGATAAACACTCTGCCATGTAGATATACTCCCATTTCTTGGCTTGTTGGGGTAGGGCTTTCATATAGCCCAGGCTAGCCTCAAATCTTGATCTCTGAGCCTTCTTCCCCCATCTCCTGAGTACTAGAATTATAATTGGGTACTGCTGTGCCTTGGTTTATGCAACACTTGAATCAAAACCAGGGCTTCTTACATCTTGACCAGCTGAACCACATCTGCAATTCCCTTTGGCCAGTGCTAACTCTAAATTTAATCATGTTCTTTTTGTTATTCTAGATCAATAATAAAGCTGCAACTGGAGAGGAGGTTCCCCGTACCATTATTGTAACCACCCGTTCCCAGTACGGGCTACCAGAAGATGCCATTGTGTACTGTAACTTTAATCAGTTATATAAAATTGACCCTTCTACCCTGCAGATGTGGGCAAATGTGAGTATGTGTAGATTTGTTATTAATTAATGCGTATTGATGAGTAAAGATTATGTATTTGGGCTACCTTGCTGAAGCTTCTTTCATTTATGGACTATTATGCTCATTTCTTAGCTCCAAAAGTTGTGACATTTTCAGCTGTTTTAAATCATTTTTATTTTTGAGATTATAATATAACCAATATAATTTCCCCCCCCCTTTCTTCTCTCCCATGTTCCCCAGGTCCAGTCCCTTTTCTCTTTTTCAAATTCACAGCTTTCTTTTCCTTAGTTGTTGTTTGCTTGCTTGTTTGTTTCTCTTTCTTTCTTTCTTTCTTTCGAGAGGTTTCTCTGTAGCAGCCCTAACTGTCCTGGAACTAGTTCTTTTTTTTTATTTATTGTTTTTTTTTAAATTTATTTATTTATTAAAGATTTCTGCCTCCTCCCCGCCACCGCCTCCCATTTCCCTCCCCCTCCCCCAATCAAGTCCCCCTCCCTTGTCAGCCCAAAGAGCAATCAGGGTTCCCTGACCTGTGGGAAGTCCAAGGACCACCCACCTCCATCCAGGTCTAGTAAGGTGAGCATCCCAACTTCCTAGACTCCCACAAAGCCAGTACGTGCAGTAGGATCAAAAACCTATTGCCATTGTTCTTGAGTTCTCAGTAGTCCTCATTGCTGAAACTAGTTCTTGTAGACCAGACTGGCCTCGAACTCAAGAGATCCACCTGCCTCTGCCTTCTGAGTGCTGGGATTAAAGGCGTGCACCACCACCGCCCAGTGCTTCTTTTTTAGTAGTAGTAATTGTTAATGGTGTGTGTATTCATGTGTATTCCTAAATATATAAATGAAATCCACTCATTCTGTATAATGCTACTTGTATTGTTTTTGAGATGAGGTCTCAATGTATCCCAGGCTGGCCTTGTTACATAGCAGAGAATAATACTGAACTTCTGTTCATTCTTGTACTTCCCAAGTACGGGGATAACACAGGTTTGCCACCACATCTGGTTATGTGGTGCTAGAAAGTAATCCAGGGCTGCCTTCATGCTAGACAAATAACTCTACCAGCTGAGCTATGTCCACAGTCATCTTCAGTTTTGATTTTACCTACTGTTGTTGTATTTTCCTCCAGTGTGTGGGGATCAAGGTCAGGGTGTGATACACAGTAGGCAAGCTCTGTACCAGTGAGCTGTATCCCCAGTCTTTTGGTGTATTTATTTTCATTTTTGAAGACAGTGTCTCTATATAGCCCTGAATGTTCTAGAACTCACTATGTAGTCCAGGCTGGCTTCAAACTTAGATCACCTGCTCTGCCTCTTGAGTTCTAGGTTTAAAGTTGTGTACCACCAAGCCTGGTTTCAGTCTTGTGTTTTTTTTAAAAATTTCATGCAATAAACATTTATTTGTTTATTCAAAGTGTTTTGTCCAAACCTGATGTCATCGAACTTTTTCTTCTTAAAGAGTTAGTAAATGAAATTTTCAGTTTTTTAATAAGTAATCTAGTCATCTCTCCTTTTTATTTATAGTATATATATAATGAAAACACTTAGATATTATATAAATTAACCCATGGCTTAGCATATCAAATTTTATTTCTAAACACTGGCTGTATGCCATACTTGGTTTTCAGGCCATAGTTTCCTAACCCCTGGCCTGAACTGATAGCAAAACTTGCTGTGTGGACATCCATATTTAACATCCTTGCAATTCTATGACATTAACCAGGAAAGAATTGGTCAATAGCCCTATTTTGCAATCAGCTCATGAGCCTGGTTTGTAGAAGTGCAATACTGAGTGTATGCGGCCAGCTGGCCCTGAGTTTGTATAACTGAAATGCTATATTTTACCTTAATGTTGTTAGAAAGAAATCATTCCTTGCTTGATCCCCCCCTCCCCATATCTGTTCTATTTGTTTGAAAGGGAAGGGTAATGTAGAAAGAGAGGAAGTGGATGAGTAAGCCTCTATTTTCCCTGAATCCTCGCTTTAGCCAAAACTTACCTAACAGTAGGCTAGTTTTACTTTTTAAAAAATTCTGCTTATGAATATTCCTGCATCTCAATATAGAGATACTAAAGTGTTTAAAAAAAACAAGGAGTTGCTTCCAAGAGTGTTAGATAAATGTATGTACATTGTATGTTTAAAAATGTGAAATAGTCTGAATTTGGAAATTTGTCTATTCTCAAATTTTTCAGAGAAGGAAGTGTGAAGTTCTGTGATATGTTGAATAAATGCACTTCTGAATCAGGAGTAGGTAAACTGGTCTGGAGGCCAAATCCACTGCTTGGCTCGTTGCTTGGTACTTTTTGATGCTGGGGTGGAACCCAGGTCCTTGCACATGCTAGGCAAGTACTCTACCGTTGAGGTACATTCCCAGCCTCTCATTGCTTATTTTTTTTTTTTTTTTTGATTTTTCGAGACAGGGTTTCTCCGTAGCTTTTGGTTCCTGTCCTGGAACTAGCTCTTGTAGACCAGGCTGGCCTCGAACTCACAGAGATCCGCCTGCCTCTGCCTCCCGAGTGCTGGGATTAAAGGCGTGCGCCACCACCGCCCGGCTCATTGCTTATTTTTATAAATAAAACTTTGACACATGGCCACATACATGTGTTTATACACTTACTATCTATGGCTGCTTTCAAGCTACAAAACAGGCAGTGACTAAAAAGCCAGTACTATTTTCTCCCTGGTCATTTATAGAAGTTTATGCTGCCTTCTGGTTGACATTAGGCAATTTGGGCAAATTTTCAAGTTACTCTTGTAATGTGGTGAGGTGGGGGATTTAAAATTTGAAGTACTGTGTATGGTAAAATGTGCCGGTACTTCAAGCTACTCTGGAGGCTGAGATATGAGAGTTGCTAGAGTCTATGAGTTTGTGGCCAGCCTGGAAAACTTAATGAGACCCTGTTCCTTAAAAACAAAAATAGGAGTAGAGGCTTACAGAGCCTCAGCGCTCCCTGGTGGCTACTTGCAGAGGGAGAGTTCTTTTCTGTGGTGGGCATTTGCCCATCCTCCAGTAACTCACCTCACCCATTTTCATGCAAGCAATCCCAACTAATTTCAGTGGATCATAAACACAAAATAACAACGGTAAAGGTGAAGGTAAGAGGGGTTCAGTAAAAATGGAAGGGGTGAATAGTGGAGGGTGGAAATGACTCTTTCCAAAAATATATAATGGAATTGTCAAAAGATTTTTTTTAAGAAATGTAAGTTAAAAAAGCAAACATAAAGACACCCACATTCCCATCTTTAACAAAGACCACTTCCTATATTAGTTCCTGCCTCAGATTGTACCCGTTAGTAACTTGACTTTTGTCTTCTAATTCTTTTCTCTGTCCTCAAACTCTCTGGGGACAGCTAAGAGAAAAGAAGTAACTCAGATGATTTAATTCATCTTTTTAAAGAAAAGACCTAGGTCCCAAACAGGCTTCTTCACTTGTTTATGGCAGAGTCTTCTTGAATTTAGAAACCTTAGAAACCTCCTGCTTCAGTTCTGCCAGGATCATAGGTATGTGCCACAATGCCCAGATTAGGTGGTGTTGGGGGTCAGTCACACTTTCTGAGTGGTTTTGGGAAAGGGCAGATGTGCTATTAATCTTTTCTTTTTCCTTTTCTTTTTTTTTTTTAGATTCTGAAACGTGTACCTAATAGCGTGCTTTGGCTGTTGCGTTTTCCAGCAGTAGGAGAACCCAATATTCAACAATATGCACAAAATATGGGTCTTCCCCAGAATCGTATCATTTTTTCACCTGTGGCTCCGAAAGAGGAGCATGTCAGAAGAGGTCAGCTGGCTGATGTCTGTCTGGACACTCCCTTATGTAATGGACACACCACAGGAATGGATGTTCTCTGGGCAGGAACACCCATGGTGACTATGCCAGGTAAGTGGCTGACAAATCACTGAATCCTTCTTTATTCGTTAACATTTTTCTTTTGGGTCGAGGGGTACTTGAAGGTGAAATTTTTTTTTGAAGGTGAAATTATATGTATTAGAAGTAATTAAGGCAGAATAATAGAAAATGGGACTTACTCAAGCCTGAATACTTGACACCATCCTCCTCGTCTTGTACTGTGTAGATACTTAAATGCAATTACCAATGATGACTATGTGACCTATAGTTCTAAGATGAGCAATTAGTATTTTTACCTTCTAGGAGAGACTCTCGCCTCTCGAGTTGCGGCTTCTCAGCTCACTTGCCTAGGATGTCTTGAGCTCATTGCTAAAAGCAGACAAGAATATGAAGACATAGCTGTGAAACTAGGAACTGATCTAGAATAGTAAGTAAACTGCCAGGAACAAACTATATGTGAAAATGTGACAAAATAAAGTCATAAATTAAGGATGATATAAAATAGATGAATTAAGTTGTATGCTCTATGGATAGAAGGGGACATAATCTAAACTCTCAAGTAATCACTAGACTTTAATAAAGAACTTTCAAAGCATCAGATGTTTTAGCCTAGTATCCATTTCTTCATAGTATTTTAAAAAACCACCACCAACAACAAAAATCACAAAAAAAGCTTAGTTGACTGAAAATGAGTGGAAATTAGAGGGATCATGCTAAGGTAAATGGAGCTTCGCCCATTCAATGAAATAGTGTTTCTAATTTGTCCCTTTGTTTTATGGTGTTTGTTTAAAGCATTAATTTTTTTTTCTGTGTGGTATAGGTGCATGCCTTTAGTCCTAACACTTGGGAGGAAGAGACAGGCGATCTGAGTTCAAGGCCAGCTGTTGTCCTCTGGGCTTTACATGCACACACAAACACAAGCATATATACCCAAATACACATAGTCCATAGGGTCTTTTTGTTTTGTTTTTTTGAAAGGAAGCATTGATAGTACTATGAATACATTTGAGTAGAGCCTAATCAATGGACAGCCAACTTTCACTTTCAATATATTTCCTTTTTTTGTTTGTTTATTTGCTTTTTGTTTTTTGTGACAGCTCTAGCTGTCCTGGAACTAGCTCTTGTAGAGCAGACTGGCCTCAAACTCACAGAAATCCACCTGCCTCTGCCTCCCAAGTTCGGGGATTAAAGGCGTGTGCCACCACCCAGCTCAGTATATTTCTGATGATATGTTAAAATCCATGACAGAAATCAACTTGGAGAGGAAAGGGTTTATTTGCCTTACATATCCATATCACAGTTCATCATGAATGGATGCCATGACAAGAACCTGGAAGCAAGAATTGAAGTGCAGAAATGGAGGAACACTGCTAGTTGGCTTGATCCCCCTAGTTTGCTAGAGGTGGTACTGGCCATATTGGCCTGGGTCATTAATCAAGAATCAAGAAAATGACCTACAGACATGCCCATAGACCATTCTTATGAATACTTGAGGTTCCCTCTTCCCAGATATGTGTGTCAAGTTGCTAGGCCAAGCAGAAAAAAATTTTTTTATATTATTATGCCACAAAAATGACTATAGAATCTAGTTCTGAGTTTTTGTTCTGATTTGTAAAATAGGTTCTCTTTGTTTTTATTACCTAGCCTGAAGAAAATTCGTGGCAAAGTCTGGAAACAGAGAATATCTAGTCCTCTGTTCAACACCAAACAGTACACAATGGAATTAGAGCGGCTCTATCTGCAGATGTGGGAGCATTATGCAGCCGGCAACAAACCTGACCACATGATTAAGCCTGTTGAAGTCACTGAGTCAGCCTGAATAAAAGACTGCGCACGGGAGAATTACCCCTATACCTGAGCCTCAACCTTCTGGGGGAAAGGGAACTAGATAACATGCTTTGTACTTATCTGTACAGTACCTTGTTGCAGATGGATGATATATAACGATAATAGAATAGCACAGCCAGACTTGCTTCCTGCATGATAGGGAGATACAAGAGATAAGAAACTGCTACTCCACAAGGAATCTCTGTAGAGTTTTGCAGTAAGCAGGTGGTGCAGAGGTCTGGAAGGTCTGGTCTCCCTTGGTCTTCCATGGGATGCTTAATGTGGAGGGAGATAGAGATTGACCAGCCATTTCGTGATTCCATGGATAGATTGAGTCTTCTGATCCTTTTTTCCTTTATATTTTGGGTATTGGAGCTTTTAAAAATGTTTGCTTTCAGGTATTTTTACTTACGTGAAGTGATCTTGATTCTTCTGAGATAAGGTTTTAAACTAAAATGTTGCTTCCTGTTTTAGTGTCTGAACTCTGACAGGGTGACAGGGACCGTGCTGGTGTAGTCTTTTTATAGGTTTTATAAACCATTTGAGCCTATATCAGTCGTTTTAGTTAGTGTCTGACCTAATGCTTGATACTGTCAGTGCTTTGTTGATTTAGACAGTGACTTAGGATTTTTTCAGCCTCTTTCCCCATTTCTTTTCCCCCACTTCCTTTAAATTCTCCTGTGAGTGCTAACAAAACTAAGTCTTGTTTCAAACATCCCAGAGTGTTTCTCTTAAGCACGCCATCTGGTGCCAAATGAAAATTCTTAAGGAGTGAATATTAATCATGAAGGGCACAGTTGTGGTACTGTTATTGATAATAATGTAGATTTTTTTTTGCCTGATTTTTAGCTATTTCACCAGTGTTTAAGCCCTTGACTGCCCCTCCTATGCTGCTTCCAAAAGTGTTAGTGTGTGATGAGATTTTTACTTTCCTTTCTAAAGTTTGTTTGTTTTTTAAAGTGAGTCCTGTTCTTCCTATTTCTTTCAGCAGAAATGAAATTCCAGGTAAGTATAAGTATTCAAATATTTGATTAGTAAGTTGCAGTTATTTCTGTATATTAAATACTGTTCACTGACAGATTTTGACGTAAAAGCTCTGAAAGGACCATCTCTATACAAGCAGTTATTTTTCAGACTGTGTTAGTGTGTATCTTCTTGACTTAGTCTCTAAGTTTGTGGATTCAGCCTTGATAGTAGTGAATTTGTGTCACTACTTGGTTTAGAGGACAAGTTAGACATTCATTTGCCCTCCTGGAGCTCGAGTTCTTGGTGATGAAGGACAGTTGCATTTCAATAAAAGGGTAGAGGGCTTGAGGCTTAAACAGGCGGCCATAGGACATAGCACTCAGACTCCAGCCACTGACCAGTTTTGTCTGTTAGCGCTCTAGATTACGTCTTTCCAAAGCACCTAGGCAGTGCATCTATTCTGTAGTTGCAGCTGTTGCCTGAATGTACCTTAGCTGACAAGTTGTTGATAATAAAGAACTTGAATTTGTGATTTTTTTTTACTGCTAGTTAAAACCTAAGCAAGGAGTCTCGCGTGTAATTCTGAAGCAGAATTACATTGTAATGAACTGTGTACCTTTAGTAATGTAAATCAAGGAAAACAGTTAAGGGATTTCTTAATTTATTTTTTAACTGAATAAATCTCAGTTAAAGGTTGCCAGCATGGTTACAGGTAAACTGACTTTGAAAAACCACTGAACTGCTAAATGTGGGATTGGATGATAGATGTCCAGGGCCGCTGAAGTTGTGATCTGTGGCCATTTTACATAGCACATCATTCCTCCTATAGGGATGAACTTTTTCCTGGCACAAAAAGTAGCCGCTCTGGTTGAAGCTTTGCATATTGTAACAGGCTTTTCTTTCCAGGTAACATGTCTGTGGAAGACTTAATTCTGATAGAGTTATAGATATTACTGGAAACTAATTTGTTTTTTTCTATTATACTCTGCTTTATTGAAAAAGTAAAGCACTTAAATTGTGCTCCAGAAATTCAGATGTTGTCTTGCAATCTTTAAACAATAAATGGATGATTTCCCCTTAATGTGGCTTGATGTATTTTGTCTCATTATGTTAAGTATTACTGGCGAAACCTATGCTTGAATAGCTCAAAACAGCATGACCAGGAAGTGTTTCCTTACTTTAGGTGTGATGTTAAGAATTAACTTTGTGGGCTGGAGAGATAGCTCAGTGGTTAAGAGCACTGGCAGCTCTTCCAAAGGTCCTGAGTTCAATTCCCAGCAACCACATGGTGGCTCACAACCATCTGTAATGAGATCTGGTGCCCTCTTCTGGCATGCGGGCATATATGGAGGTAGAATGTTGTATACATAATAAATAAATAAATAAATAAATCTTTTTTTTTTAAAAAAAAATAACTTTGTTTTCTTTGCCAAGTCTGATGGGAGGATTGGAGATACTAAATAATACTTTAAGGGATCAGCAGAGCCCCAAATACCTGTATACACTTTTGTGTGTGGGTCATTCTTTGTTTACATTCCATTCTGGGGACTAAGCAGAGTGCCCTATGCATGTCAAGTACATAAATACTGAGCTACAGGTACAGCCCATATAATCTCATTTTTTAATATGGTACTTACAGTTTTTTTTCCCCTTCTCTCTGGACAATGGTTGAACTCAGTCACAAGTTTGGCTTCCAGTTTTTTCAGAGATAAAAGGGAAATGTTTGGGGTTGGAGATGTCTCAGTAGTTGAGAATTTTGGGTGCACTTTCCAGAGGCTTCAGGTTCGATTCCCAACACCTACTTGGTAATCTGTAACTCTCTGTTCCAGGGGATCCGATATCCTCTTTTGGCCTTCTTGGGTACCAGGTATGCATGTGGTGCACAGATGGATATACATACAGGCAAAACACTTAAAAATTAAATATATATATATATATATATATATATATATATATATATATATTAACATGGTGCATAGACATACATGCAGGCAAAACCCGTACACATAAGATACTTTAACTGTTCAAATAATATTAAGTAAATTTTCATATAATTAACAATCTTATTGTACCTCCAAAGCCCTAATGAGACTTATGTTTGTTGGAATCTGGATACTTTGGGTCATAATGATTAATAGTATTAGAGTGTGTGTTCTGACTCAGAGCTGTAAATCCTAGCACTGGTAGGCTGAGACAGAATTGGTAGGCACTAGAGATTCAAGGGCATCCCAGGCTATCTAGTGAAGCCCTGTCTCAAACAAAAAAGATGGTATGGGAAAAAGGTTGGCCTCACCACTCTGTAGTGTGGGATGAAGTCAACTAGTCGTAAGTCTGTCTTTCACCCTCATTGTTAAGATTGTTTCATTTATCTCCTTCGGTGGCTCCTGCATTCAGTCTAAATTCCTTGAACAGACTAAATAAATTTGTGTAATTGCTGAACAGCCTGAATTTTAACTTCTTTTGCAGTTTTAGAGAGGATTTTCTGTAGCCAAGGCTAGCCTTGAACTTCAGGTTTTACTGCTTTTGCTTCCCGGGTGCTGATGTTAAAGAGATTATAAGCATGTGCCTTCTTATCCTACTGGTATTTTGTATTTGACAAGATATCACTAAGTACTGACTGGCTTCAAATTTGTCTTCACATTTATCCTTTTGCCTCAGCTTCCTGATCTGGAATTACAGGTATGTGTCTTTGTCTTTGGCTGAACTGTTTGAAGGTTTAATTTGAATTCTAACTTTTATTTGAAGCTTTTTGTTGTTGAGGTAATTTCACAACATTTCTCAGGCTGGCCTTGAACCTCTCCTCCCCTTCTCAAGTGCTGGGAGTATAGCGTATATAGACACTCTTGGCTTATGTTTCTTATACCTACCATTTAGATTCTTGACCTATACTTCTAATCCACATCGTTAAGCAATCTTCATTTTTGTGGAGGAGAGTTACTATTATTCTTACTGTTTTTCCGTTCAAGGAGCCTGCTTGTTTGTATTCATTTACTCATCTACCTAGTATCTATCTATCTATCTATCTATCTATCTATCTATCTATCTATCGTGCACTTTGGAACTAACTAGAGCTATTACAATTGCGTTCTAGCTATGCCACTTTCTAGTTGTTTAGCCTCTTAAAATGAGAGTGTTAACATTGCATTTTAATATTTCTTTTTAGGTCTTGTATGGGTACTTTGCTTGTATGTTCGTGAGGTGACAGAGCCCAGAAGAGGGTGTTGAATCTCCTGGAATTGGAGTTACAGATGATTGCATGCCGCCATGCCAGTGCTGGGAATTGAACCTGGGTCCTCTGGAAGAGCAGCCAGTGCTCTTAACAGTTAAGCCACCTCTCCAGCCCCATATTTTTATTTTTAAAAATTTGGGTGTGTAATATATGTTTGTTTCTGTATGGATGTCAGTTGTTTCTCTCTCTGGGATGCTCCATCTTATTTCTAGTTCACTATTTCCATCTTCCATCCCTTACTTACCTGGCCCTATCTCCAGCCCTGAGATTAAAGAGACACCTGTACTCTATGTTCATGCTGATCCAGCATGCATTTTGCTTACTGGACCATCTTCCTGGACCCTAACGTTGAATTTTTAATTATTTAGAGACAATAGTTTCCTTTTGTTGTTTAGGTACGCTCATGGGTTCCCCAAAGTGTTCTTCGGTCTCACTTCCTGAGTAGCTGCGACGAGGGTGTGGCATGCCAGTGTCTAGGAGGCTTATGTACACATTTTTTTTAGATTTTAATTTTTTATATTTATAATTTCTTTTACATGTATGAGGTTTTGCTTGCCTGTATGTCAGTGCACTATGTGTGCACTGGTGCCTGAGGAGGTCAGAAGAGAGCCTTAAATTCTCTGGAATTGGAGTTAATGGGTGGTTGTGAGCCGCTGTACTGGTGCTAGGAATTAAACCCAGATCCTCTGCAAGAATAGTGCTCTTAACCACCGAAGCAACCATCTCTCCAGCCCTTTTCAGGACATGGTATCACTATATGGCTGTTCTGGATCTCACTCTGTAGACCAGGCTGTCTTTGAACTCAACAGAGATCTGACTGCCTCTGCTTCCCTTGGGCTGGGATTAAAGGTGTGCACCACTGTACCTGGCCCCTTCGTGTTTGATTTTTTTTGTTTGATTTTTTTTTTGTTTGTTGTTTGCTTTATTTATTTTATTTTCAAGATAGGATTTCTCTGTGTAGCTTTGGAGCACTTGTTTTTCTTGTTGCGTTTTGAATGGGTACTGAAAAGCTTAAAGTAACCGTACTCCATTTTTTTTTCTCCAGGGTCTGACAATTCTGGATGCCAGCACCACAGATCTCTGTTGCTAGATGTTTTTGTTTTGCGTTGCTCCCTCTTACTTTTATTGAGGGGACTAGATGGTCCTTTCTGCCAGCCAGCGCTCAGAGTAGTTGGAAGACCAACAGGTAGATAAACGTTTAAAAGATTTGGGCAACCCGGTAGTGGTGGCGCATTTAATCCCAGCATTCGGGAGGCGGAGGCAATGAGTTAGAGGGCAGCGAGTTCGGGTACAGGTGGGACTATACAGAGAAACCTTGTCTCAAACAACCAAAAAAAAATATTTTTTTTTGGCAATTTAAGCAAGGTAAGTAGAACTAGCCTTCAAATTCTCACTTTTTAAAGAATTGTTTGGTTTTTCTTAGCACTCAGAAAGCTATTAGAAGCCAGGCATGGTAGCTATATATCTGTAATTTCATTACTCTAGCCCGTACTACATAGATCAAATCGCAAAAACAAAATAGGGGCAAAAAAAAAACGGGGGCAGTGAGAATTGTTCCAAAATGGATGGTGCTCATCAAAATGGATGGACAAGTGCTACTTGGTCACAAGTGCTATATCTTGGTCACAGGCGCTATCTCGGCAGTACGGGATTCCATTCTGGAAGCTGGTACGCCCGATTCCATAGTAACATGCAAATTTGCTCTATGATGAGCTGTGATAGGTGGGCACAGGAAGGCGGGAAAACGTCAGTTCCTGTGGGGGGAGGGTTGTCCCTTATAAGAGGCACTGTGCCTGGCAGCCGTTTCAAACCCACTCCGGCGCGGGAGCGCCTCCGGAGCCGTTGGTGGGGGCTGTGACGTGCTCCGGAGCCATTGGTGGCTGTGACGTGCGCTGGAGCCATTGGTTGTGGCTGTGACGTGCGCAGGAGCCATTGGTGGTGGCTGTGTCAGTGCTGGCGGCCATTTCATCAGGACCGGACCATTCCTTTGAGGGTCTGCTGTGTGGTGCGCCAGACACCGGGAGCCGGAGCCGGAGTCGGAGCCAGACACCGCTGGATCCGGAGCCGGAGCTAGACACCGCTGGAGCCAGACACCGCTGGAGCCGGAGCCAGACACTGCTGGAGCCGGAGCCGGAGCCAGACACCGCCGGAGCAGGTACGGAGAAGGCGGCCTAGGTGGGGCAGCGGCTTCATTTAGTGTGGTGGATGTTGTTAAAAGCGCCACCCGCGACTGTTCACCTCGGCTTCTGTGTGTGAACACGGGAACTATGGAACTGAAGTTCCCTTAGACCCTTTTTCCCCCCAGAAAAAGGGCAGAGGGGTCGAGTGGGCGGGAATGTAGCTGAGTACCATCCCTGGCACTGCCAGAAAGGTCCTCCGGTCCCCCCCTCCCCTTAAAGCTGTTACCAGCATGGCGGTGTGGCTGGGGTGCGGAGACCTCGACTGAAACCTCTGAGGGGGTTTGAGAAGGTCTCGGGGTGGGAGGATGGAGGGACAAGTGGGACAAGTGAGTAGTGGGAAGAGGGCAGTTCTGGCTCCAAACAGGTGCCATGGTGGCCGGTTCAGGAGGTAGGAGGTCGGGTCTGGGACAGGTGGGACAACAGCGGCATAGAGAGTTTTTATGCTGTGGAAGAAATGGCGCAGCTCTGTCTGCACATAGTGTTATGGCCGCACACCCACTTGGAGGTGTCCAAGTGGGTATGGGATTGTTGGTGAGCTGAGGGGAGATGTTTGAGGATCATGGACAGTAAACCAGTGGCCTAGCAGGTGGGGAAAAGAAGGAGGGGTCGAAGAAGTCTCATTGGAAGTTTCTAGAATTAGAAGAGTGCCAATTCTGTTTCTAGAATTTTCCACAAAACTTGGGCAGGCCATTGGGTGGATTGGGGGGAGGAGCCTGAGAGAGCCCCTGTCTGCTCAGCCAATGGGAAGCTATTGTGTTTCTAGAATTTTCCACTAATACTAGGCAGGCCATTGGGTGGGTTGGGGGGAGGAGCCTGAGAGAGCCTCTGGCTGCTCAGCCAATGGGAAGCTATTTCTAGAATTTTCCACCAATACTAGGCAGGCCGGTCGGGCTGGTTGGGGGGAGGAGCCTGAGAGAATCCCTGCCTGCTCAGCCAATGGGAAGCTATTGTGTTAATTTTTTCAAAAAACAGGCCCGTGGTGGGTTGGGGGAGGAGCCTGAAAGAACCCCTGGCTTTGCAGCCAATAGGAAGCTGCGGAAGCCTGGGGACATTGAGTGGCAGATGCTGGCGGGAATGGGAGGGGACCAACGGGACTGCACTGGAGATGGGGTGGGAATCAGTTGGCGGACCCAAGTGGGGACAGGGCAGGGTCCAATAGTGGCGGAGGGGACCCTGACCGAGCGGGGCGTGGTCGACTTAGGGCGGGCCAACTACAGCGGATGAGGGGGCAAGGGCACAGGCATTGGAGGGAGGGGGCTGGACTGGCTGGTGGCAAAGCAGCAGGGTTAGAGTTAGGGTTGAGTGCGTGGGCTGCAAGGGCCGCCAGGGACTGCAAGGGGGGGGGTGGCTGGAGGGAGCTGAGCTCTGCAAGACTGGGGCAAGCGGGGGGCGGGGCTGGAGGGACTGAAGCTGGATTGCTGCAAGGGGAGGGGGGAGCGGGGGCGGGGCTGGCTGGTAAGGCACGGGGGCGGGGCTGGAGAGACCGAAGCCAATCGCTGCTATGGGGGGGTGAGCGGGGGCGGGGCTGGCTGGTGAGGCACGGGGACTGGAGGCACCAAAGCAGGGGTGGGGGCTGCTGGCGGCGCGTTTCCTGCGAGGGGAGGGAGTATTGGGGGCAGGGCTGGCGGGGGCGGGGGGGGGGGGAGCCCCCCCCCCCAAAGGGCGCAACACCAGAAGAGGGGGGCGGTGGCGGGAGTGGGGAGCGGATGGCGGGGATGGGACTCACGTCCTGAGGGAGTGGGTGGGCAGGGGCGAATAGCGGGGAACAGAGTGACTGATGGGGGGGGGGTGGCAGGAGCGACTGGCCTGGGTGGGAGGGGCCGGTGGGAGCGGGAGCGACCCGGGTAGCCTCCTGTCATGAGACCTGGTATGGCTCACTTCTCAGGATCAGACCCTAGTGAGGACTAGGAAGTCTCTTAGCCAGAGCTGCAGGGGGAGTTCTGCCCTGCGAATGTGAGGCCATGACAGCAGCTTATGAGAGACTAGGGGTTGAGAAATTGATAAAGACGACCCGTATTGAAATAAAACTAGGTTAAATTGAGGTTTGTCTTCCTCTTTATGCCTCATTAAAGTGGCACTTGAAGTAGATTAAGGGCTAACTACTACATGCCTTTGGCTTTTTAAATTTATTTTTTCTAGATAAGGTTTCCCTGTGTAGTTCAGGGTTTCCTTGAAACTTACTCTGTAGACCAGGCCAGATATTGGCCTGCTTCTGCCTTCTGAATTATTTATTTATTGGTTTTTGAGGCAAGGCCTCACTAGCCCTGTGTAGACCAGGCTGGGATTAATGGTGTGTGCCTACCCTGGCTTTTTTTTTTTTTGGGACTGTGTGGGGTTTTTGTTTGTGTTTTTTTTTCAAGACAAGGTTTCTCTGTGTAACCCTGGCTGTCCTGGAACTTGCTCTGTAGACCAGGCCTACCTTTACCTTGGGATCTTTATGTCTTTTCATGTCTTTTCCTCCTGAGTACTGAGGTTGCAGGTTTGAGTCACCATACCCTACTATCTCAATATTTTTAATTTTAATTTTATTTTTTGTTTGACCCAGGGTTTCACTGCTTGCTAGCCCTGGCTGTGCCAGAACTCACTCTGCAGATCCTCCTGCCTCTGCCTCCCAGTGGTGGAATTAAAGGTGTGTGCTACCACCGAACCACTCAGTTAATCTTCTTAAAAACTTGCATTTATTTATTTTTGTGTAGACGTGCATGTGCAATGGTGGATGTATGGAGAGCAGAAGATAGACAACTTACAGGAGTTCGTTTTCTTCTATATAGGCCCCTAGGATTAAATTCGGCCCTAGGATTAAATTCAGGTTGTTAAATTTCGTGGTAAGCACCATTTATTGCTGGGCCATTTCACTTGCCTGGACTTGGTTGGTCTTAAAATTGTAAAGAAATAAGAATCTTGGGTTCTATAATTCCAGAGTTTTACATATCTTTGTCAGTGGCCAGAAACTCATAATTCTATGAAGCATGCAACAGTTTATATATTTTCGAGGCCGGCTTTCTCTGGCTTTGGAGCCTGTCCTGGAACTAGCTCTTATAGACCAGGCTGGCCCCGAACTCAGAGAGATCCACCTATCTCTGCCTCCCAAGTGCTGGGATTAAAGGTGTGGGCCACCACTGCCCAGGTCATACAACATATTATTGAGTATGAATAATTCCTGCAAAGTCACTCTGAAATTCATATCTAATGTTGTTTGATTTTTTTTCCACTCCATTGTTGATAGTGCTGCCCCCAGAGAGACTCAGGAAAAATGATTTTCATCATGATCACAGAGGTATTTAAAATAGCTATGTCTCTTCAGCATTCTTTGAATGCTCTTATTTGAAATACTGCAGTATGTCAGTCCGTGGGGATAAAATATGGAGGGAGGTACAGAGCAGAGTGGTGGGAAATAGATAAAATACAAAGAAAGTTTAGTTCATGGTGAAAATGATATTTGAAAGGAGTGGAGGCAGTAGATAAGTCAGCAGGCAATTTGATAGTCAATGAACTGTTTGGGGAAAAAAAAACAAATTAGAACATATTCAAGGCCCTAGGTTTAATCACTAGCGTTAGAAAAAACAAAGCAACTCAAAAAAGTTGGAATTGGGGAATTAGTCCTGCTAACTTGAAGTTTACACACTCATGCTTTTTCAAGCAACCCTAACTAAATACAGTGCCCCCAAAAGATGTGGAAGTAGGAGAGGAAAGGAAGGGGTTCTGTGTGAGGAGGACGGAGATGAGAGGATAATGGAGGGGAATGTGGTCTAAGTGCATTACATTTCTGTGTATGAAGTTGTCAAAAAAGTTGTAATTCTTACTTGATTCACTCCTTATACCAAAATAAGTTTCACACAGATATTAAGAAACAAACAACAAAAACCCTAAAACTTTAAGAAAATGGGTATGGTGTAATTCCTAGCACTGGAAAGGCTATGTTGATGGGAAGCTTGTTAAAGTAGTTGAAGCCAGTCTGACTTACACAGGGAGTTCCGTCCAGCCTGGAACTTGTGTGAGACCTTGACTTAAAAGAAAAATTTAAAGATAGGTGAATTTTGCATTTTATATTATAATAGGCTATTTTCCTAAAAATACAAAAACTTTTAAAATCAATAATTTGGGGAATTTTGTTTTGGAGAATTTTAACTCTGTAGCCCAGGTTAGACCTAAGAGTCTCATTATGTAGTCTATAGCCATAGAATTGAGTGGAATATAAACTGAGCTTTTTAGAGGAAAGTTCAGCAGTTCCAGTATTTTAAATACCCATACCTCTACCCAATTTTTGGTACAGGATCTCACTATGTAGAGCTGGATGGCCCGGAACTCTCAGGCTTCAACACAGATGTCTACCTGCCTTTGCCTCCTTATTTCTACTATTAATGATCAGGGCCACCATACCCCATTTTAAATATTCACAATCTTCTTCAGCAATTCCACTACTAGTACTTTTTCTTTAACTCAAAAAGCTATTTTATCTCGTTTCTTTTTTTACTTTTAAAAATTTGTATTTATGCTGGGCTGTGATGGTGCACGCCTTTAATCTCAGCACTTGGGAGGCAGAATCAGGTGGATCTCTGTGAGTTTGAGGCCAGCCTGGTCTATAGAGCAAGTTCCAGGGGTCAGCCTCCAAAAAGCTACAGAGAAACCCTGGGTTTTTTTTTTTGTGTGTGTGTGTGTGTGTGTGTGTGTGTGTTTGTATTTTTGGGACAAGGTCTCACTGGCTGGCCTGGAACTCACTCTATAGGCTACACTGACCTCAAACTTAGAGAAATCTGCCTGCTTCTGCCTGAGTGCTGGGATAGGTTCAACTTGTTCTATTTTTTGCGATGGTCTCTATAGCCTGGCTATCTTGGAATTTAATACTTAGATTACACTGACCTCAAACTGAATTCTTGCTCAGTTTCCTGAGTGCTAAGATGAAAGGTGTGTGCTACCACACCAGGCATACCTCCAGCATTTGATGAGGATTGAGGATCTGGGTTTCTGAAGTGAGAAGTGCAAAGATTCACCTGGAGAAAATTGAGTACTCAGTAGAATCTAGTAGGCAAAGATTCTCAGGGATAGAGAGATGGTTCAGTGGCTAAGGGCGCTTGCTACTTTTTCAGAGTTACAACCCCAGAATTGGGTAGCTCATAACCACTTTAACTCCAGCCCCAGGGAATCCAACCTGCTCTTTTGGTGGTAAACTGTGCCATAGGCAAACAGTGACATAAATAAAAATTTAAAAACCTTGAAAGTAACCTTTCAAACCTTGAGGTTTTGTGATGAAGATTAGAAGATCATAAATAAAAAGGGGATCACTTTTATTTTTCTTTTTAGACTTTAAAATTTTTTAATCACTTTTTAAAAAAAAAGTTTTAAATCCAAAAAAAAAGTATTAAGTTTTTTTTGTTGTTTTTTTTTTTTCATTCCATAGCTAAAGGCTGGCCTGGAACTTGTGACAATATTCTTTCTCCATAACTAAAAATGACCTGGAATTCTCTGATGGCTATGACTGGGCTGGAACTTGTGACAGTCTCCTCCTTAAGCCTCCCAAGTGTTGAGGCTATATACATGAGCCACCTGATTTTAGAACCACTCCTTGATATTGATGCATCAGTTATTCTGACTTTGTAGTGACCAAAAGTAAACACATAATACTTCCTAATTATGTTGCTTCCCGTTTAGGGTAGCAGATTGATACGTATATAAGCATTTACAGTGAATTGTGGTAAGAAAATGTGATGGGCAGAAGTGGTAGTACCATAGGGGTAGAGAAGAGAGAGGACAGCCATTTTCTGGTTTACTTTTTACAGTAGTCCTATGAAAGAAACAGTTCTTTTATAACTACTGCTCAAGAGCCTGTCTTGTGAAAGTCTAGGTGAGCCGGCTTACAGCAGACTGTTATTAGCATAGTTGGAGAGGTCTGAATCAAGCTATTTCACCGTTCAGTTCTGAAATATCTCCATATTTCTGAAATTTGCACATCTTACATTTGATGACAGTTATATATACATATAGGGACTTGAGAAGGATGTTGTAGCAGTTAGAAGTGCCTGTTGCTCTTTAAAGGATCCCAAATTTGGTTGCCAGAACTCAGTGTTGGATGGCTCACAACCACCTGTAACTCTAGCTCTAGAGGGTTCTAATATCTCTGGTTACTACAGGCACTTGCAGTCACATATAGGCAGACAGACAGATACAATTAAAAAATTAAAATCTTTTTAAAAAGAAGTGCATATAGGGGCTGTGATCTAGCTCAGTTGGTATTTACCTTAGCATGCATGTAACTCTGGGTTCAGTCACCAGCATTACATAAACTTGAGCATGGCAGGCATACTACTGTAGTCCCAATCCTCAAGAGGGAGGAGGCAGGAGGATAAAAACTTCAAGGTCTTGTTCTATATTACATGGGGTTTAATGCCACCTCAGTATCTAATGTAATAGATTATTATTTTGCTATTGAAGCCAACCTGGACACATGAAAGCTTTTTTTTGTTTTTGTTTGTTTGTTTGTTTGTTTTTTGAGGCAGAGGTTCTCAGTAAACTATGGAGCCAGTCCTGAAACTTGCTCTATAGATCAGACTGGCCTCAAACTCAGAGATCTGTCTGCCTCTGCCTCCCGAGTGCTGGGATCAAAGGTGTGCACCACCACCATCCAGTGCACATAAGCTCTTTTTTTTTGTTTTTTTGGTTTTTCGAGACAGGGTTTCTCTGTGGTTTTGGAGCCTGTCCTGGAGCTAGCTCTTGTAGACCAGGCTGGTCTCGAACACACAGAGATCCGCCTGCCTCTGCCTCCCGAGTGCTGGGATTAAAGGCGTGCGCCACCCCCGCCCGGCACATAAGCTCTTAAAAGTATTTTATGCCCTTGCATTTCAGAAGTTGCTTGTTTTTAGCATTTATTGGAGAGTTTTGATATTATATGGCCTGTGTTATTGGTAGCCCTCACTTTATTTTTTTCTTTTCTTTTTTTTTTTGCCCTCCCACCCCCCAAAGATTAGGTTCAGGGTTTTTGTATTTATTTATTTTTGTTTTTTGAGACAGGGTTTCTCTGTAGCTTTAAAGCCTGTCCTGGAACTAGCTCTTGTAGACCAGGTTGGTCTCGAACTCACAGAGATCCGCCTGCCTCTGCCTCCCTAGCCCTCACTGTAAAAGCCTCTTTTTTTCCCCAGTTATATTCTTAACATGGATTCAAGCAGCAGCAGCAGTGGCAGCGGCAGCGGCAGCGGCAGCAGCAGCAGCGGCAGTGGCAGCAGCAGCAGCAGCAGCAGCAGCAGCAGCAGTAGCGGCAGTAGCACCAGCGGCAGCAGCAACAGCAGCAACAGTAGCAGCAGCGCCAGCAGCAGCAGCAAAACCTGTAAGTAGCCCGCTCTTTCCACAGTAATGCACATCGAGCATCTTTGTAGATGACTGAAATGAGGTTTGGGATACTTAGCTTGATTTGGTCCTAGTCTTGTTCTCTTTGGGATGTTGAAGTTTATTTCCCTGGTGTCAAGAGCAGATCTTCGTGTTTGTTTGTGTGTGTGTTTAATGTGTTGTTTACTCCTTTTTGGTTCCTGGGTCATCTTTTATTTCTTCTCAATCTTTCTTGGGGGTATAAATTCTTTTATTTTTTTCTATTTTCCTCCCCCTCTTCCTTTCTTTGACCTTCTTTCCATTGCTGGACAAAGAGCCCAAGGTGTAGTAGGCAAATGTTCTACCACTGACCTATGTCCCCAGTTTTGGGAAAATGTAAATTTCACTAGCTCTAATTTATAAATTGTTTTTCAGGAATAAAAGACATGAGCTATTAGGTTTTATCATGCTTCTTAATGCTTTTTCTTTCTTTGATTTATAGCTGTGACTAAATTGCCACAGAAAGAAGCCAGGTAAGGAGAATTGTTGAAACATGATCTATCTATCTATCTATCTATCTATCTATCAGAAGTATCCACTATTCTGGGTAAGAAAATTTAAGAGTAAACATTTCATTTTCTCTGAGAATAAACACTATATGGTACTTACAGAATCACGATGGTTGTTTGAGTTTATAACCAGTTTTAAAGTATCTGATTCTAGTCTTGGGCCATTTTTTAACTGTTTAGCTGTTTGTTGCTTTTATTTATTTATAGTTTTTAGCTTATTTAAGACTTGATCTCACTATGTAGCCCTGGTTTTCCTGAAACACTATGTAGACCAGGCTGGCTTTTAACTCATAGAGATCTGCCTTGCCTGCCTCTGCCTCCTGAGTGCTGGGATTAAAGACATGCACCACCACACATGGCTAGTTTTTGGCTTTTTGAGACAGGGTCTCACTATGTAGCCCTGGCTAACCTGGAACTTACTATGTAGATAAGGTTGACTTTGAACTTGTGGCCTCTGCTTCCTAAGTGCTAGGATTAAATGAATGCTCAGTTAGTTTGATTTTTAAAATGTCTTTGAACCATGATTTTTTAGTCTCCATCAGTCAAAAAGACGTTTTGTCTGTGATCTAGTCTGCATCTTGCCTCTAGGTGAATATGCTGAGTGTACTGAAATTATGTTGATGCCCAATTCAAATAGCTCATCATATAAAAATCAAGGTTTTTAACCTAGCAGTTAGAGCTTTCAATGATCTGGCCCAGTAAGTTGTAGGAAAAGAAGTGAGTAAGGAATGCATAGAAATCGGGTGAGAACCAAAAGATGACCATGTGCTAGAAATTAAGAGAAGCCATTTAGTTTTTAGTTTTTTTTTTTTTTGAGACAGTCTATGTATCTCTGACTGTCCTATAATTCACTATGTAGACCAGACTGACATCAAACTGAGATCCACCTGTCTCTGCCTTTTGAATTCTGGGATTAAAGATGTGCCACCATGACCAGGAAAAAGACTCTAAAAAGAAAAAATACTTAGTTATCTTTATGTGTATAAGCATTTGCCTGTTGTTATGTATGTGTGCCTTGTACCCATGAAGGCAAGAGGAGGGTTGTTGGACCCTCTGGAACCAGAATTACAACCAGTTACAGGCTACCACGTGAGTGCCTGCTTCTGACTCCAGAGTGCTGGAATTGAAGGCATGTGCCACCACCCAGCCTCAAAGAAAGGTTCTTTAAGGTTATAGTAAATAGGATAGCAAAGGCCCATCAACTTGGCAGCTTAAAAGAGATCGCGTACAGCTGGGCGGTGGTGGCGCACGCCTTTAATCCCAGCACTCTGGGAATTCGAGGCCAGCCTGATCTACAAGAGCTAGTTCCGGGACGGGCACCAAAGCTACAGAGAAACCCTGTCTCGAAAAACTAAAAAAAAAAAGAGAGATCATGTACAGTAGAAATAGATTAGCCTTGGTATCTATAATGGATACAAAAAAAATATAGTAACAGGTATTTGGAGTGCTTTTCATTCATCATAAAAATGTTTCATGTTCAGGAGATGGATCACTGGGTTAAGTAAGGTACTTGCCACAGAAGCCTGATGACTTGAGTTTGATCGTCAGAATCCATGTAAAGGTGAAAGAGAAGTGACTTCACAAAGTTGTCCTGTAACCTCCAATTGTGTTCTGTGGTACATGCACACACCCACACACACTATATACTTCCCCTACAATGATGACTTTTTAAAAAGTATATCATACAGAGGGTTTGTGGCTATAATCAGAGCCCTTGGAAGGCTGAGGCAGAGTTTCTCTGAGTTCCAGTATTATATCTTGGGATAAAGAGTATGTGCTAGCTAATTTTATGTCAGCTTGACACAGGCTAGAATCATTTGAGAGGAGGAAACCTCAACTAAGAAAATGCCTCCATAAGATTGGGCAGCAGGCAAGCCTGTAGGACATTTCTTGGTGATTGATGTGGGAGGGCACAGCTCATTGTGGGTGGTGCCATCCCTGGGCTGTTGGTCCTATGTTCTATAAAAAAGGAGGCTGAGAAAAACCATGATGAGCAAGCCAGTAAGCAGCACTCCTCCATGTCCTCTGCATTAGCTCCTGCCTCCAGGACTCCAAACTCCTTTGCCTTTTTGTCCTGACTTTTCGTTGATGTGGAAGTATAGACCAAATCAACCATTTCCTCCCCAAGTTGCTTTGGTTATGGTGTTTCGTCACAGCAATAAGACAGAAATTGGTGCCAGGATAGGGCATTGCTATGACAGACCTGACCATGTCATTTGGGGGTCGATTGTGAAAGTACTTTGGAACTTCGGGGCCAGAAAATTCATTGAGTGTTCAAAGCCTAGTGAAATGTTCTATGGGAACTTGAAAGATTAGTGTTGAGAGAAATGCAGATGATGGAGGTGTGGTTTTTGAAGTTCCAGAGGGAAGATTTGAAATCACTTAAAGACTCTCATTAGGGCTGTTAACGTATCTTGTGTTAAGAATCTGTGTGTGGAAGAATTGGTTGTGATTATCAAGATACCAAAACCACTAAAGTGAAAAAAAAACCTTTGCTTTGCTGGGATAATTGATGCTGGACAACTAGAGCTGAGAAATCAGCAGTGATTAAGAACACACCATCGCTGAGGTGAAATCTTGTGGGAAGTGTTTTCTCAGAATTAGCACACAGAAGTGGTACTCCAGAGGTGACCTAGGTTGTACCTTGTGTTGGCAGCAGAACCTGGTAGTGTATAAGAGTCACCCAGGTGGTACTGGTTTTGAAGTCATGAAGGTATCGTGGAGAGCAGCTGAGACTTGGCACTGTGTGGCAGGGCTGAAGTCCCTGAAGAGAGCCCAGCAGAGGCTATTGGTGAAACTACAGCGCAATTGCAGCAAGAGACCTCCGCATTTTGGAGATGCCAGTACCATAGGACAACTACCAAGAACAACAGTAGTGGAGTGCAGTTGTCCTGATCTTAGGAGACAATCTGTGTGGGCTGTAGTGGGTGGAGCCAGAAAAGTGGTCCTTTAGAGAAGCCCAGAAGATCGTGACTTGAACCCAGATATTGGACATTGAATTATTTACACAGTTGGAGTTTGGTTTTGCTTTATTCAGATTGTGACTGTGCCCTGGTTCTTCCCTCTTGAAGTAAGATAGTGCTTAGTTTTGATTTTTACAGAAGGCCACAGTTGAGAGACTTTGAACTTTCTAAAGAGATTTTGAAAATTTACAAAGACTTTGGATTTTAAGAGATTTGATATGTTAAAGATACTAAAATTTTTTTAAGTGTTTGGAATTTTAAATACTCCGGGACTTGTAAATTTTGTAATGTTTTATATTGTAATGTTTATTAATGTGTGATCTTGTTGATGAACAAGAAAGGAAAGGTTTTATCTTACCAGTGATATCTTTGTGTCAAGTTGACAAGGGGTCAGTGAGAACCTTTGCTCTTTGGCTCTCTTACACAAATTCATCTCAGAGTTGAAGAATGATAAGCTCCCAATGAATTTTTCCCTGCCACCAAAACTATTTTGAGTACTTGCACTCTGACAAGACCCAGTTTACTTTTTGTAGCCGACAGACGCCTCCTTTGGGAAGTTTGTAAGAAAGGGGAAAGGTGTATAGAGTAATTGGAATAATTGAAAGGTTGTAGTTCCAATAAAGGGGAATAGCGTTAGTGTAGTAGGAAACAACCAAAACTTAACAAGTAATCCTGCTTATTGTAGAAAATATGGAAACTGCCCAGAAGGAAAGAATATTTATGCTCATATTTTTCTTTTGTTTTTTTCCACCTTATTACTTAGCTGTGTGGTGATTGACTCAGACTCTGACTCTCTCTATGAGGAAAAGAGATCTAAGATCTGTGAAATAAGCAGTGAAGGCAAGTATCATCTTTGCTTAGAGAAATAGCTGCTCTGAAGCCTTGTCACATGTGGCAGTTTTAGGGTCTGACTCTGCACATTTTTAAGTTTATAATGACCTTGAGGCCAGTGCCGCCCTTTTTTCATTATGTGCTGGATGTCAGTATGGCTGGCTTCCTTCTTCTTTCTTTTCTTTTTTCTTTTTTTTTTTGAGACAGGGTTTCTCTGTATAACAGTCCTGGCTGGCTTCAAACTCACAGAGATCCACCTGCCTCTGTCTCTCAAGTGCTGAGATTAAAGGCCTAAGCCACCACTGCCCAACTATGGCTGGGTTCCTCACCTTGATCTGTTTCCTAACACAGTTGCAACTCTTCTGCTGCCTTAGGGTTCTATTTGCCTAGACTCCACTCCTCCATCTTCCTCTCCTTCCATCCTTTATAGGTGGGTATGACAAGGAAGAGGAGAGGGTGAGAGGCATGGCTCAGTCCTCTTTCCAGCTTGGTGGAGACTGGAGCTGGGGGAGGTACCAACTACTATCTACTCTATACACTATTTGTATAAGGTAGAAATCACCAAAAGTCCAGCTACGTCATAGGACTAAATAAAGAAGTTTTTTTAAGCTAGAGAACTTTAACTTGATATAAATGAGATACCACTTTATTGATGTAATTGCCCACATTTTGCTGTGAACCACAAGGCAGCAGGTTTGTGTTTAGGAACAACTGAGCAAATACTTCATGTTGTTTAGACAATGTGATTTTAAAGTGGGCATAGCATACATAATACTTTCATTGCTAATTTATCTGTCATTACTCTTAGTAAAACACAAAATACAGGGAAAACAATCTATAAGTATAATTTTTAACTGTGATTCAGAATGTCCAAACACTCAGTTTTTTTAATTTGTGCTCAATAACCTGCTGATGTCTGTATATACAGAGTGGGTTGGATAGAAGGAGTATATTTATAGATGTCTCTTGAATTTCAGATGAGTCTTCTGACGAGTCTTCTTCTGATGAGTCTTCTAACGTTAAGGGCTCCAGCGATCAGAAGTCTCAAGTAATTGTTATCGATGATGAAGATGACAGTCCCAATTTAAAGGGTTCTGAGCAGAAAAAAGATGTTTCTAGTGATGAGTGCCAAATGCCTGTTCTCGAAAAAGAAATTGATTGTGTTGTTCTTGGGGCTACTTCATCTGCTGATGTTTGTGAAATAGGGGCCCCTGGAAAAAGTTCCAAACAACCACCACTGGAGCCTGAGCCCGAACCCGAGCGGGAGCCTGAGCTTGAGCCTGAGCTAGAGCGGGATCCCGAGCGGGAGCCTGAGCCTGAGCCTGAGCCAGAGCAGGATCCTGAGCCTGAGCCTGAGCCTGAGCCCGAGCCAGAGCGGGATCCTGAGCCTGAGCCTGAGCCTGAACCCGAGCCCGAGCCTGAGCGGGAGCCAGAGCCAGAGGGGGATATCGAGCCAGAGGGGGATATCGAGCCAGAGGGGGATCTCGAGCCAGAGGGGGCTCTCGAGCCAGAGGGGGATCTCGAGCCAGAGGGGGATCTCGAGCCAGAGGGAGATCTCAAGCCAGAGCCAGAGGGGAATATCGAGCCAGAGGGGGATATCGAGCCAGAGCCAGAGGGAGATCTCGAGCCAGAGCCAGAGGGAGATCCCGAGCCGGAGCCCGAACCTGGGCCCGAGCCGGAGCCCGAACCTGGGCCCGAGCCGGAGCCCGAACCTGGGCCTGAGCCGGAGCCCGAGCCAGAGCCCGAGCCGGAGCCCGAACCTGGGCCTGAGCCGGAGCTCGAGCTGGAGCCTGAGCCCGAGCTGGAGCCAGAGCTCCAGCAAAGTGTTACAGCCCAAGAATCCAAGGAGAGAAAGGCTGCCGCTCTGCTGGCGCAACAAAGGAGAAAGAAAAGAAAGAATAGATTTATATGCATGGCTCCACCTAAATCACGTAGGAAACGGCGTCGGGTAGTCTCACAGGATGTGCCCAGCCTGCCAAGTGCCTCTGCAGAGTCTAGTCCCCCTGATGAGCCCACATCATCAGACCAGGCTGCCAAATGCATGCCATTAAAGAAACGTAGAGGCAAAAGGGCACGTACACATGAGTAAAAAGGATCTTTCTGCAAATGGGGGTGGGGGCTCCCATGTCCATCTTATGCTCCAATATGTTAGCATTTACAGTTCAGTCCCCATGGAGTGCTTTTCCCCTGAATTCCTGTCCCTATGATATCTTGGGTCATCATCTTTGACATGCCCCCACTACTCGAATTGTCAAGTCCTCTATGCAGCGTTCCCAGTTTTGGAGTTTTTCTCGTAACATGTTGCCAAATTTGTCCTCTTGGTAGTTTGTTTATAAGAGGACTCTTAATGATTTATTCTCTAGAGCCTTGTGAGTGGCATGTAACAGATGTTTAATAAATTTGTTAAATAAAATGAGTGAAGTCTCTGGCTGGAGTTACTGGTGCCGTGCGTGGGTTCTGGAAGAAGGCAAAAGGCAAGGTTAGACATGCAAATTAGGTGAAGGTGCTGCTGGGGATATATATGGGGTACACCATACAGGCATCATAGTTGCTTATGCAACCTAGCCTCTGTGAACTAGCTCTTGTAGACCAGGCTGGCCTCGAACTCAGAGATCCGAACTCAGAGATCCGCCTGCTTCTGCCTCCCGAGTGCTGGGATTAAAGGCGTGCACCACCACCGCCCAGTTTAGAAGAGCTCTTTTTGAGCTTCCCTTTCTGCTTGATGGTACTGATGTTCAGGGTACAATCAACTATTTATTTTTTTAACTGATAGTGGACCAAAAAATTGGGGCCTTACAGAAGAAACCCATTGCAGCAAAAGTTGAAAGTTGCAAAGACTGGATATGTGCACTGCTAAAGTACTCACTTGCATGGGATTTGATTCCAGTATCCAGGAGATACTAGAGACTCCAAGGGAATGAACAGGAGTCTGATTAGATGAAAGTTTCTGACCCTAAGTGGGCATGTACATACAGAGTGATGAGGTCATCTTCTGGTCCTGTGTGTTGTCATGGTATACCCCTCTACCCCCAGCCATCCAGCCAAAGGACCAGGCCTGTGTGCTCTACTTAAATTCTAGTAGTTACCTGGCAGAGTGTGCTTCCTTCATCCTCACAGCAGCTCTGGCCTCTAAAGTTTCATTTGTCCTTAAAATCAGGACAAAGATGGATATGTAGCCAAAATATGTATTAGGCTGGACACAGCCTGATGGTCATCAGTTTGTACTTAATAAGCCAATACAGTTGATGTGATGGCACATTAATACCAGCACTTGGCAGGCAGAGGCAGGACAATTAGGAGTTCCAGGCCACCCTCTACAAATCGAGTTCAAGGCCAGACTGAAGCTACCTGATATTCTTATCTCAAAAAGCTACGAAGAAAGTAATTACAGTGGAGAAAGAGCCTACTTTTTGATTTGAGTTCAAAGAGAAGGTAGTTAAAAATGACTTACAGGTTTCTCCATGAACACATTTCCCCTTTTGTGTGTATTCTTCGGTTTTGTTTTGTTAGACAGGATTGGGGTTAGAGTCCTTAGATTTGAACATGCTGTGAAGCACTGTGTCACTGAGCTGCATCAATGCTATCCTGTGAATTTTCAAAGCGTCCTTGACTCAGAAAAAAAGGTTAGGGTGAAGTAGATTATTTAGAGTTTTTTTTTTGTTGTTGTTGTTTTTCTTCGAGACAGGGTTTTTTCTGTAGCTTTGGAGCCTGTCCTGAAACTAGCTCTTGTAGACCAGGCTGGCCTCAACTCAGAGATGCCTCTGCCTCCTGAGTGCTGGGATTAAAGGCGTGCGCCACCACTGCCCAGCTTATTTGGAGTTCTTTAAGAGTCACAGGAAGCCCTTAAAAACAAGTGATTGTATGAGTCAAAGACATGTTAATACTTAAGCTAGAAGTTGTTACATTTTCTCATTTCGATTCTTAAAATCTCACTTTCCCCCTCAAAATATGATTTCAATTTTTATCTCCTGCTTTACTTCCATTCAGGGGTAATGCACACTTATATCTAAATTATCTTTTGTTTTTGTTTTTCAAGACAGGGTTTCTTTGTGTAGCTCTGGCTGTCCTGGAACTCACTCTGTGGGCCAGGCTGGCCTCAAACTCATAGGTCTGCCTGTCTCAGCCTCCTGAGTGCTGGGATTAAAGGTGTGCACCACCACTGCCTGGCTACAGCTGAATTATTTTTAAGAGAAGGAACGCAGATCTCTGAGTTCAAGGCCAGCCTGGTCTATAGAGAGTTCCAGGTCAGCCAGAGCCACACACAGAAACCCTGTCTTGGTGGAAAAGAAAAAAGAAAAAAGAGAGAAAGTATATCTGAAGAAGCATCTGTGTGTGTGTGTGTGTGTGTGTGTGTGTGTGTGTGTAAGCATTTTGATTTTTTGTGGGTTTTTTGTTTTGTGGTGCTTGGGGATGAACTGGCTACTTCAGCTTGGTGATACTCTTAAGCTTATATTTTGGGAGAAAAATTGTCTTCAGGGAGGGGAAGGGGAAAAGGTATGCCAGGCATTGGGTAGGGGAGGTCAGTTTAGATCTGAGAAAAAAGACTGTGTCCCTGTGCTTTTGGGTGGCTGAGATGATTGAGACAGTTTACCGTGTGCTCTTGGATCCCCTATCAACAAGGCTTCATCTCTGGATTCTATATGCTTTTCTTTTGCGGGGGAGGGGGGAGCATTTGAGACAGGGTTTCTCTGTAGTTTTGGAACTTGTCCTGTAACTGTAGACCAGGCTGATCCGGAACTCACAGAAGTCTGCCTGCCTCTGCTTCCCAAGTGCTGGGATTAAAGGCATGCATGCATCACCACACTCAGTTTCTATGTATGCGTTTAAGCTGCTTTGTCTGTAGGGATGCTTGTTTTGATAATAGCCAGGTTGCTTTGCTAGAGAATGACAGAAGAAAGGAGAAGCTGCCTCTTGGTGTCCTGTCACTACCCTATCTGAAGGTGATTAGCCTGTTTGAATTTTTACCACTATCTTACTGTACTCCATCTCTCTGAGAGCCTCCTGCACTGCTGCCCATAGCTCTTGTCTAGGCTGCTTGTTGTTAGTTTGGATGTGGGGTGCACAAACTTTGAGGAAAAGTTTGCTAATAAGTCTAAAGGCTAGCTTTCTCTGCGTAGACACGGAGGTCCCATTCTCTGCTGCATCTGACAGATGGTAGTGGTTGTCATCTGCCTTTGCTGATACATATCTAGTGTTAAAGCAAAAATGTGAGCTTGTGAAGCCAAACTCACTGTGTTGGCAGTTCATTTTTCTAGCTCTGTGGGCTTCTCTATCTGGTTGTGGTTTGTTCTAGCCATAATTTTTTAAAAGCCTCCTCCAGGTATAATGGCACATATGGTAAATACTAGCAATTGGAAGGAAAAGGCAGAATGATTCCCACGAGTTTGGGACCAGCCTTGCCTATGTGACAAGAGCCTATCTCCTAAAAAAAAGAAAAAAAAAAACAAAAACCAAACCAAACCAAACCAAAACAAAACAAAACAAAAAAAAACACTTCCAGAGGGAGGAAGGGTTGTAGACACCAGAGGGGTCAAGGACATCACAAGAAAACTCACAAAAACAACTTACCTGGGCTCATAGGGACTCACAGAATCTGAACTGACAACCAGGAAGCCTGTATGGGACTGACCTAAGTACTCTACATATATGTTACAGTTGTGTAGTATAGATGGAGTTTCCTGTCTCATAGCTGTTTCCCAAATGCAGAGACTCAATATTAGTTGGAAACACTTGGCCAATAGCTCAGAGTTGTTACCAGCTAACTCTTAACATTTAAATTAACCTGTATTTCTCATCTCCGCTCTGCCACATGGCTTGGTACCTTTTCTCAGTATGGCATGCTCATGTTGTTTCTCTTTTTCTCTGCTGAAGACTCCAGGCTCTCCCCTTCTTCCTCCCAGCAGTCTCCTAGTCTGGCTCTCTAGCCCAATCTCTTTCTGCCCAGCTATTGGCCAGTCAGCTTCCTTATTAAATCAATCACAGTGACATATATTCACACAGTGTAAAGGCATATTCCACAGCAGTGTAGCTTGCTCTACTTCTGGGACTCCTAACAATGGGAGCAGGACCTGTCCCTAACACTTTGGCCAGCTCTTGGGAACCTGTTCTTCATACTTCATACAAGGGAAGGTGCTTAGTCTTACCTTACCTTGATATGCCATGATTTGTTGATACCCATGGGAGTCCTGCCCCTTTCTGAACATAAATAGAGGAGAAGTGGATTGGGGCAGAGGAGAAGAGGGAGGGGAAACTTCAGTCGCGATGTAAAATAAATTTTTAAAAAGCCAGGCGGTGGTGGCACATGCAGAGGCAGGTGGATCTCTGAGTTCGAGACCAGCCTGGTCTACAAGAGCTAGTTCCAGGACAGGCTCCAAAACTACAGAGAAACCCTGTCTCAAAAAACCAAAAAAAAAAAAAAGCTGGGCGGTGGTGGTGCACGCCTTTAATCCCAGCACCCAGCACTTGGGAGGCAGAAGCAGGCGGATCTCTGTGAGTTTGAGATCAGCCTGGTCTACAAGAGCTAGTTCCAGGACAGGCTCGAAAAACCAAAGAAAAAAAGAAAGAAAGAAAAAAACCCAAACAAACCAAACACTAAAAAGCAAATTTAAAAAAACCCACTTCTATTTACATCAGTAGCAACTGAGCATTGGCCCAATCATGGTTTAATGGAAAGATTGAGGATTTGGGTCAGAAGATCCATTGTCTCTGACTTTTGGGTCAGACACCTGAGCTTTAGTATCCTCATTTGCAAGATAGAGATGGGAACAAACAATGATATGATGCAAAGAGAGGTTCTTTGCAAATACTAAAATGCCACTGGTGGTTCTCAGGAAAGGCAGAGATGGGTCACTCTGTATCACGGGAAAGAGTTGATGCCGCAGCACAATGGGAAATCACCATTCACTCCAGGGAATGTTTGAGCTGCCCACTTTGAGCAGAGTAGAAGTGGTAGCTGGAAACAGTGGCTAGAATCACATTGACTCAGGCCTTGAATACCAGGCCAGCTGGTCAAGGAAAAGCCAGAAGGAAACAAAATGAATCTGGAGGTGAGTGGGTACTGGGTTAGAATGAAAAGAGCCTGGTAGTTAGAGAGTGCTGTTCTATGAAGGGGAAGGCAGGTCTTGATGAGAGAGGTGAACCTGAGTTGCAAAGCAGATGCTGTCCGGGAGAGCCCACAGTCAGAAGATAGCAGTTCACATCCCAGTTGAACACAGGGTAAGGGAAAATGCATTCAAAATGCCTCCAAGGTTTTCTGTCAGTTGTGACAGAATTTTCATTATGGAGCCTCTTAGGCTAAAGATAGACTCATAAATGTGTTGGGAATTTACATTGAATAAATGAAAAATCAGAAACATCAGAGACTGAAGCTGTAGGTGTAGTTATCAGTTTTGAGGTTGAAACCTGGCCTCATAACGTTTGAGAATGTGTGCCAAGAGTAAAGAGAAACACTGAATGGAGCCTGGGAAATAAATGTTAATATATGATGAGCCGGAAGGAAAGAACAGCAAGTTTTTAGACCTTTATGCATGTCTTCTCCTATTTCTTTAGCCATGAAAAATTCACTTGAATTTACCTTTGTAGGAAACGTATGTGCAAAATTCCTGGATGTTTCTTGAATAACATTGAGAAGTTAAAAGAGTATTCTGGAAGGAATTTCAAGCACAATAAGGAAGAACTGGCTCAGAAAATCTACGCACTACTTAACCACACTGTCTTTGATGGAAAGGTAGAAACAACGAATAAGTTTCTATTGAATACCTCTTGTACACCAGCATGCTTGGCTGCTGTACTAACCATGTCTGCTTCATGTCTTGGAGCTGTGCTAGTTTGAGTAGACCTGGACCACTCCATGGGTAGAAAAGAAAGACTTATTGGGGTCCAAACTGCCAAGGCTCTCTCTCAGAGGGGCAGAGAGAAGCAAAACAGTGGGAAAGCAAGCAGATTTTATGATAGTCAGCAGGTAGGGGTCTTTGTGCTGATATAGGCTGTTCAGATTAATCAGGAACTAGATGCCCTTACCCAATAATCGTCTGTTTACCCAGTTAGTCCTTCTGTTTAGGACATGGTCACCAGCGCAGCTGTATTTGGGGGGGGCACTTTGGACTTAGCAAACATGAGAGAGAATGCTTGTGTGAAAGAGAACTTGTTTTGGTTGTATATATGAGCAGATGGCTATTACAGTAGGAGATTAGCACAGGGAGAATGACTGAAAAGTCTGAGAAGTCAGAAAATAGGATTTCCTGAAAGACATGAGGCTCCTGCTCCTTAAAAAATGGTTTGTACTGAGAACGGCAGCAGGGAAAGGACATGTGATAAGGTAAAGAAGATGATGAGAAGGAGCTGGATGAGTTGCTTAGCCTCCTTTTACCCATGTCTCTTGTAAAATGAGGCCAATAATAGTGCAGTCATCTTTCTGTGCCTGCAGGGAACGGGTTCTGGTACCCCTCAACAAATGGCAAAATCTACAGGTGCTCAAATCTCTTATATAAAATGTCCTCTGCTCATCCTCTGTGTATATTTCTAGCAGATGCATGTTTTTGTCATTTTTTATTATCTGACAGTTTTGTACATTTATGTAATAAATTGTAGTCATTTTTGATCTGCAGTTTGTTGAATCCATGGTACAGAACTCAGGCCCATTCTACTTACTACCTCAGAGTTACTATTAGACTGCAATATTTCCATAATCATAAAGTGCTTAGAACAGGGCCTAGGTACAGCAAGCTCTTGTTGTCTTGTCTTCGATGGCCTTGGCAAGTAGGTTAGGAAAAGTTAAATTTAAATTGGTAGGAACCAGTGCACAGGAATGTGTGACGGGAAGCTACTGCTGAATCCATCTGCCAATAGCTTGGTGGTATGGACTGGATTAGAAAATGCAGAGGTAGGGACCTTCTGGCCACTTGTTTTGCTTGTTTGTTTTGGGCTCTTTTATTTCTTACCATGCTTCCTGCATGTGAGGAAAGCACCCTACCCCTGAGCTGTACCATCACCGGTAGATCGTTTGTTGTTGTTTAATCCAGTGTTACAGTCTTCTGCTGAAGAGGCTTTGTGGAGGGAATTCTTATATCCTGAAGGTCCTGTAGCCTTAAAAATCTCCTTCCTTGTGTCCTGATTAACCTATTAATTGTCATTCCCAGGACTTCAATGTTTAGATTTGTTTTTTATTTGCATAAATTTCTCTTCAGCAACTCAAGAATGTAGGAGACAGTTCCTCTTACTTTGTTTTTATTTTTTGAGAATTTCATATGTGACTACTATCTTTGTGTCATTTCTACCACCCCTGTTCTTCCTATATCTCCACCTCTCAAATTAATGACCTCTTTGTGTGTGTGTAGTATGTGTAAAACCTTTTTTTTTCTTTTTCTTTTTGGTTTTTCGAGACAGGGTTTCTCTGTGGTTTTGGAGCCTGTCCTGGAACTAGCTCTTGTAGACCAGGCTGGTCTCGAACTCACAGAGATCCGCCTGCCTCTGCCTCCCAAGTGCTGGGATTAAAGGCGTGCGCCACCACTGCCCGGCTATGTGTAAAACCTACTGAGTCCATTTAGTGTTGCTCCTATGTGTTTAGAGCAGAGCTCTTGGGATTGTATAGCCGATAAGAGTTCATCACTGGAAAACTGATTATTTCTGCAGGGCAGTTATTACCTGTGGCGTTTCATCTAGGGGTGGTGCCTTGTGAAATTTCCCTCGTCCACATTGGCATGTCCTCTTACTTTTTCTCAGAGGGAGAAAAACTCTTGTTCTTATTTTCTGATATGAGTTGTTTCTAGGGAGATAGCTTAGCAGTTAAGAGCACTTAATGCTCTGGCAACAGACCCAGGTTTGGTTCCCAGCATGCACTTGGAAGCTCGCAACTGCTCTATAACTCCAGATCCAGGGGACCTGACACTCTCTTCTGGTACACATGTGGTACATATAAACTCAGGCTTATACACATACACATACATTTTTAAAAAAAAGTAAACCTTTAGAACTGCTTTCTGATACTTTTGTTTGCTTTTCATTTTCAGTTGCCAGAGAAAATAGAAATCATTTGGAATAAAAAGATGCTACGGACTGCTGGTTTATGCACTACCCATGAGATACAACAACCCAAGAGGCAGCGCTATGCTAAGATTTCAATTTCTCCAAAAGTCTGCGACTCTGCAGGTGATTCCAGGACTATGGTGGATTTACCCTAGCACCCTGTCCTTCTGATCTGTTAAATTACTCATCCCCGGCAACCTGTGTCACAGCTTTGAACTGTCATTTCCATGTGGGTAGGCCTTCTGTATGTTGCTGAGAGGACATCATTATTAGATGTCTCACCTTTCCTAGGAATTCAGTGTAGTTTCCAGGCCCATCTGCACATTTCCTTTGCCAAAGCCAGGTCTCCATTCTCTCAATTGCCAAGGGTCAAGATGCCCGCTCTAGCCAGACAGTTTTTCATTTGTCAAAGTCTGGTGACTTATCCCCTCCTTCTGTTCCCTCAGTTTGTGTGTGTGTGCTACTATGTTGCTTTCCTGCTCAGAGCCTGGTTTTCAAGGCCATGGTAGTCTTCTCCTGCTTCACGGGTTTTATCTGGCTTCTCACTGCTCGCTGCTAGCCCATGGTTTATCCATTCTTTGCCCATTGGCTCTCAAAATGCAGCTCGTGGTTTTGTAGATCCAATCATTACTTACATTTTGTTTGACTTCTCCCGAATGCTCCCACCATATTGGAGACTATAGCCTCACACATGCCGTGTAAGTAGTATGCCATCAAATAGCAGCGACAACAGATTTTTAGAATCAAGTGTTTTGTCTTGTTTCTGATATGGTGTCTTGCTATGTTGTCCAGGCTAGTCTTGAACCCCTGGACTCAAGCAGACCTCTTGTCTCAGCTTTTTGAGTAACTGGAACTACATACAGGTGTCTGCCCCCCAACTCAGCTTTGAATGGCCGCCTTTTGGTAGGGAGGGTGAGGGTACAGGTTAGTGTAGCCTTGGCTGGCCTCATACTATGACCCTGAACTTGTATAGTTCTCTTGCCTCAGCCTTTCAGTGCTGGGATTACAGAAGTGGGCTGCCGGTTTTTTGTTTTTAATTAAAAAATATTTTTTATACAATGTATTTTGATCATGTTCTTTCCCCTCCCCCAACTCTTCCCACCTACCTTTATGTATGTTTGCCTGTGTTCTCTCTCTCTCTCTCAAAAAAAAAAACAAGAAAACAAAAAACTAAAATCAAAACAAAGAAACAAAAAAAATCAGTAAGAAAAAATACTTAAACAAAGCAAAGTTGTTTTGAGATAGGATCTTGTCATATAATGCTAACTGATCTCTAACCCAGGGTCATCCACCTGTTTCATCCTCTCAAGTGCTAGGGTTAAAGGTCATGTATGGACTTAAATAGCCTTTCTAATTCTAAATTTAGTCAGTTGTTAAGAGTCTAGCTCACGGGTGTGGGGAGGGGGGTGAGAAGGCTCAGGGCCATCCAGCCTGCTGATCTGAGTTTCTTCTCCAGGACTTACATAGTCAAAGGGAAGAGCTGACTTCCACAAGTTATCCTCTGGTCTCCACATGCATGTGCATGTATGTGCATGCACACACACACACACACAATAAATAAATGTAATTAATTTTTTCATAATAGAACCCAGCTCAGATCTCTCTCTTACCCCAAACTTCTGCTCACCAAATCTCATGGCCATACATACCTCCTGAGCCCACCTTTGTCCCAAGCGTGAAGAAAGCAAGCCTCGTCCAGGTACATTTCGAGCAATGTCCCACAAAAGGATGAACATGCTGGAGCTGCTCCCCAAAGACCTGACCACTTAAGAAGCAGTCAAAACCAAAACTAGCTTGTATGTGGGTAGAAATTTGACTCTCCGGATCCTGGGAAGGCAACAATTGCAGCCGACTGTGCTTCTGTGAGACAGCCTTGTGTTTGGTAGGGGTGAAAGTCAAGGGCTTATGGGATAGTAGATCAGAAGAAAATTCATTTTAGTGCTGACAGTTTCTTTTCATTTCTCTCTCAAGATCAAATCCGGGACACCTTGATCCATGAACTATGCCATGCAGCCTCCTGGCTGCTTGATGGCATCCGGGATTCTCATGGTATCTCATGGCAATATTATGCTAAAAAATGCAATTCAGTACACCCAGAACTGCCCAAGGTCACCCGTTGCCATAACTACACAATTCACTACAAGATCTATTATGAATGCATGCTGTGCAAATACAGGTAAGGCCTTTTCAGATTTTTCCCAATTCTTTTGTTATTCCAGCCTCCAATAGCTGTTTGTTTTCTTTTTCTGGTACTGGGAATTGAGCTAAGGGACTCATGGCTGCCAGGCAAACACTACATGGCTCCCCTGCCTGAGCCATATCATCAGCCAGCCCTCTTTTCTTCCTTCTTTCCTTCCTTCCTTCCTTCCTTCCTTTCTTTCTTTTTTTTTTTTTTTTTGGTTTTTCGAGACAGGGTTTCTCTGTGGTTTTGGAGCCTGTCCTGGAACTAGCTCTTGTAGACCAGGCTGGTCTCAAACTCACAGAGATCCGCCTGCTTCTGCCTCCCGAGTGCTGGGATTAAAGGCATGCACCATCACCGCCTGGCCTATATGCTAGTCTTGAGCTAGCTTTGTAGCCTTGAACTATGGCAGGACCAAATCGATCTTTAGTAAGTCTATGGACCAATTTAAGGAGTCAAGCTCACTATTTCTTCGTTCTCTTTCTCCATTATCTTCCTGAATTTGAGCTGGCCTGACTCTGCTGCTGCCTGGGGCTCCTCAGAACTCACAGAAAATTGCTTTGAGCATAAAGCTGAGGAGTTGGAGCTGCTGTTGAGGGGTCGTGATTAATTTGTTATTGTGCTGTGGTATCTCCTTTCTCCCCAGGATTGGCCGCTACACCAGATCGCTGAACACTGAACGCTTCATCTGTGCCAGATGCAAAGGGCATCTGGTCTTGCTGCCATTGTTTCGCAAGGATGGAACCCCCATTGTGCCCTATGTGAGACCATTTGCCAAATATGTGCAGGAGAATTATAGAGCCGTGTTTAACGGCACGGCAGGAATCAGCCATGGGAATGTGATGAAAAGACTCAGCAAGGATTATTTTGCCAGTAAACAAAAGGCAAATCCTTAAGGTTTGCCTGGAATATAGTTATGTGAGCCAAATCCTTTACTGGCAAGAAGTTCTAGAAAACTATTTCTGTAAGGTTTTAAGTATTGGGATTTAAATGTGTTTTCTGATTTGTTATTATTGATGATTTTTCTTAATAAAGAGTTCTTTTGCTAACCATACAGCTCTTGACAATACTTGAAGCCCTTTGGATCCACATTGGGTTTTAACTTGGAATGAGTCAGAAGAAAAGGATGTTTCTTGGGAGGGAGAGCAGTGAGAACAGGAGAATATTGTCACAACAGAGTAAGTGGCTCGTAGTGAGTACTCTGCCAGCTTGTTATGCCTCCTCGGGTGTGAGGAGCCAGCCTGCTTCATGAATTCCAGCTGCTCATGGATTTGAGTGAAGCATGCAATCATTCAGAAAATAAATGTTTCCATCTCACATTCCAGCTCTCCTATTCAAGTGCTCGAGCAGACTGCCTATCTCTGGGAGCTATTGAGGGTGTGGATAGGACCCAACATTGTTTTAGTGTATGTACTCCTGTGAATGCCACAGAAAATGCCCACCAACTTGTGGCTTAGAGCAGCACGGATATTCTATTATATTATAATATTTTAGAGTTTGGAAGGTCAAGAATCTAGGATGAGTCACCTAGATTATGATTAAAGTGTTGACGGGAACTTCTGGAAATCCATTTCTTTTCCAGTACCTAGAGGCCTTCCACAGCCCGTTTCTTGGTTTCTGTTAGGAATTTTTCCTAGTGCGAGCTCTCTGCCAATGCAAAAATCCCAATCAAGCCAAATCACAACAAGCCAAATTAAAAATATCCAGGTTTAATGGGATTCCTGCACTCGCAGGTGGCCACGGGGGGGGGGGGGGGTCGACCGGGAGACCGTGAACATGACCACGGTGTGGGGGGGAGAGACCACCAGGGGACCTTCTGGGGAAGCAGTTTAAGTAGCCTGGAAGAGTGGTCAAGATTTTGGCAGGCTGTCTTGACACTCCTCCAGGGAGGGGTCAAGGCTTGGCAGGCACAAGGACAGGGCCTCCAAAGATGGAGGCCAGAGACCGGGACTTGGGACTTACAGTTTCTTTGAGACAAAACATCTTTTTTACTTTCTGTTCACTTCTAGAGACTTGGGGTCCACTTAGAGAATTCTTGTCTGTGTGTGTGTGTGTGTGTGTGTGTGTGTGTGTGCGCGCGCGCTTGTCTTGGAACACATATGTACATGTGTATATGCATGTGGAAGCCAGTGACAAACCTTTGGTTTCATTTCCAAGAGCTGTCCACCTTGTTTTTTGAGACAGTGTCTCATGTGGTTGTAGTGCTTTCCAATTCGGCTAGGCTGGCTGACCAGCAAGCTACTGTGTTCTTCCTGTCACCACCCACCCAGGACTGGGGTGATAAGTGCACACCACCATGCTTAACTTTTTTTTTTCTTTTTGGTTTTTCGAGACAGGGTTTCTCTGTGGTTTTGGAGCCTGTCCTGGAACTAGCTCTTGTAGACCAGGCTGGTCTCGAACTCACAGAGATCCGCCTGCCTCTGCCTCCCGAGTGCTGGGATTAAAGGCGTGCGCCACCACTGCCCGGCTATGTGTAAAACCTACTGAGTCCATTTAGTGTTGCTCCTATGTGTTTAGAGCAGAGCTCTTGGGATTGTATAGCCGATAAGAGTTCATCACTGGAAAACTGATTATTTCTGCAGGGCAGTTATTACCTGTGGCGTTTCATCTAGGGGTGGTGCCTTGTGAAATTTCCCTCGTCCACATTGGCATGTCCTCTTACTTTTTCTCAGAGGGAGAAAAACTCTTGTTCTTATTTTCTGATATGAGTTGTTTCTAGGGAGATAGCTTAGCAGTTAAGAGCACTTAATGCTCTGGCAACAGACCCAGGTTTGGTTCCCAGCATGCACTTGGAAGCTCGCAACTGCTCTATAACTCCAGATCCAGGGGACCTGACACTCTCTTCTGGTACACATGTGGTACATATAAACTCAGGCTTATACACATACACATACATTTTTTAAAAAAAGTAAACCTTTAGAACTGCTTTCTGATACTTTTGTTTGCTTTTCATTTTCAGTTGCCAGAGAAAATAGAAATCATTTGGAATAAAAAGATGCTACGGACTGCTGGTTTATGCACTACCCATGAGATACAACAACCCAAGAGGCAGCGCTATGCTAAGATTTCAATTTCTCCAAAAGTCTGCGACTCTGCAGGTGATTCCAGGACTATGGTGGATTTACCCTAGCACCCTGTCCTTCTGATCTGTTAAATTACTCATCCCCGGCAACCTGTGTCACAGCTTTGAACTGTCATTTCCATGTGGGTAGGCCTTCTGTATGTTGCTGAGAGGACATCATTATTAGATGTCTCACCTTTCCTAGGAATTCAGTGTAGTTTCCAGGCCCATCTGCACATTTCCTTTGCCAAAGCCAGGTCTCCATTCTCTCAATTGCCAAGGGTCAAGATGCCCGCTCTAGCCAGACAGTTTTTCATTTGTCAAAGTCTGGTGACTTATCCCCTCCTTCTGTTCCCTCAGTTTGTGTGTGTGTGCTACTATGTTGCTTTCCTGCTCAGAGCCTGGTTTTCAAGGCCATGGTAGTCTTCTCCTGCTTCACGGGTTTTATCTGGCTTCTCACTGCTCGCTGCTAGCCCATGGTTTATCCATTCTTTGCCCATTGGCTCTCAAAATGCAGCTCGTGGTTTTGTAGATCCAATCATTACTTACATTTTGTTTGACTTCTCCCGAATGCTCCCACCATATTGGAGACTATAGCCTCACACATGCCGTGTAAGTAGTATGCCATCAAATAGCAGCGACAACAGATTTTTAGAATCAAGTGTTTTGTCTTGTTTCTGATATGGTGTCTTGCTATGTTGTCCAGGCTAGTCTTGAACCCCTGGACTCAAGCAGACCTCTTGTCTCAGCTTTTTGAGTAACTGGAACTACATACAGGTGTCTGCCCCCCAACTCAGCTTTGAATGGCCGCCTTTTGGTAGGGAGGGTGAGGGTACAGGTTAGTGTAGCCTTGGCTGGCCTCATACTATGACCCTGAACTTGTATAGTTCTCTTGCCTCAGCCTTTCAGTGCTGGGATTACAGAAGTGGGCTGCCGGTTTTTTGTTTTTAATTAAAAAATATTTTTTATACAATGTATTTTGATCATGTTCTTTCCCCTCCCCCAACTCTTCCCACCTACCTTTATGTATGTTTGCCTGTGTTCTCTCTCTCTCTCTCAAAAAAAAAAACAAGAAAACAAAAAACTAAAATCAAAACAAAGAAACAAAAAAAATCAGTAAGAAAAAATACTTAAACAAAGCAAAGTTGTTTTGAGATAGGATCTTGTCATATAATGCTAACTGATCTCTAACCCAGGGTCATCCACCTGTTTCATCCTCTCAAGTGCTAGGGTTAAAGGTCATGTATGGACTTAAATAGCCTTTCTAATTCTAAATTTAGTCAGTTGTTAAGAGTCTAGCTCACGGGTGTGGGGAGGGGGGTGAGAAGGCTCAGGGCCATCCAGCCTGCTGATCTGAGTTTCTTCTCCAGGACTTACATAGTCAAAGGGAAGAGCTGACTTCCACAAGTTATCCTCTGGTCTCCACATGCATGTGCATGTATGTGCATGCACACACACACACACACAATAAATAAATGTAATTAATTTTTTCATAATAGAACCCAGCTCAGATCTCTCTCTTACCCCAAACTTCTGCTCACCAAATCTCATGGCCATACATACCTCCTGAGCCCACCTTTGTCCCAAGCGTGAAGAAAGCAAGCCTCGTCTAGGTACATTTCGAGCAATGTCCCACAAAAGGATGAACATGCTGGAGCTGCTCCCCAAAGACCTGACCACTTAAGAAGCAGTCAAAACCAAAACTAGCTTGTATGTGGGTAGAAATTTGACTCTCCGGATCCTGGGAAGGCAACAATTGCAGCCGACTGTGCTTCTGTGAGACAGCCTTGTGTTTGGTAGGGGTGAAAGTCAAGGGCTTATGGGATAGTAGATCAGAAGAAAATTCATTTTAGTGCTGACAGTTTCTTTTCATTTCTCTCTCAAGATCAAATCCGGGACACCTTGATCCATGAACTATGCCATGCAGCCTCCTGGCTGCTTGATGGCATCCGGGATTCTCATGGTATCTCATGGCAATATTATGCTAAAAAATGCAATTCAGTACACCCAGAACTGCCCAAGGTCACCCGTTGCCATAACTACACAATTCACTACAAGATCTATTATGAATGCATGCTGTGCAAATACAGGTAAGGCCTTTTCAGATTTTTCCCAATTCTTTTGTTATTCCAGCCTCCAATAGCTGTTTGTTTTCTTTTTCTGGTACTGGGAATTGAGCTAAGGGACTCATGGCTGCCAGGCAAACACTACATGGCTCCCCTGCCTGAGCCATATCATCAGCCAGCCCTCTTTTCTTCCTTCTTTCCTTCCTTCCTTCCTTCCTTCCTTTCTTTCTTTTTTTTTTTTTTTTGGTTTTTCGAGACAGGGTTTCTCTGTGGTTTTGGAGCCTGTCCTGGAACTAGCTCTTGTAGACCAGGCTGGTCTCAAACTCACAGAGATCCGCCTGCTTCTGCCTCCCGAGTGCTGGGATTAAAGGCATGCACCATCACCGCCTGGCCTATATGCTAGTCTTGAGCTAGCTTTGTAGCCTTGAACTATGGCAGGACCAAATCGATCTTTAGTAAGTCTATGGACCAATTTAAGGAGTCAAGCTCACTATTTCTTCGTTCTCTTTCTCCATTATCTTCCTGAATTTGAGCTGGCCTGACTCTGCTGCTGCCTGGGGCTCCTCAGAACTCACAGAAAATTGCTTTGAGCATAAAGCTGAGGAGTTGGAGCTGCTGTTGAGGGGTCGTGATTAATTTGTTATTGTGCTGTGGTATCTCCTTTCTCCCCAGGATTGGCCACTACACCAGATCGCTGAACACTGAACGCTTCATCTGTGCCAGATGCAAAGGGCATCTGGTCTTGCTGCCATTGTTTCGCAAGGATGGAACCCCCATTGTGCCCTATGTGAGACCATTTGCCAAATATGTGCAGGAGAATTATAGAGCCGTGT